GAAATTTAGTATTTATATATTTTCTTATTTATAATAAAGATATTCTTGATATTTTTTTAATAAAGGTTTTAATTAAATTTTTTCAAAAATATTATTATTATAAACATTATTTTTTAAAATAATAAATATATTATAAGTATCATTAGTTTTAGTTTAACAAAAAACTTTATTTAAATATTTAAAAGTAAATAAAAAATGTTTATATTTTAGAATACCAGAAATTTCTTTAAAATATAATTTTAAAAAATTGAAAAAGTTATAATAAGTCTATCTGTTATTATTATTGTAATATATACTATTATTAATACTATTTTTTGTTAACTTATTAATAACTTTTTAAATATCATCTACAGTATTAATAATAGTTTTTTGAAAAAGAGTTTTAATATTTCCAAAATATCTATCAAATATAAATTTAGTTTGTTTGAATATTATAAAATTTATTTCAATTGTATCTTACATTCAATTATTACAAATTACTTTTAAATATTTTTCTTAATTTTAATGTTTTTGTAATTCATTATAAACAAGAATAATTATTACTTTTTTTTGGTATTAAGGTGACCTCTTTGGTCTTTTAACTTTTATTAATCACTTATTGGTATTGTGGTTCAATAAACTACTACAGGAGAGTATACAATTGGCTACACATGTAACTTTTCTATATTACCTATTTAAAAAGTCTGCCTAAAGGTTCTCTATTAATTGCTGTACCTAACACTCCTGCTTGAATGTTCTACTTTAAACTCTCTGAACCTGTAACTGGTGTTAACATTACTAGATCATATCCAGATGCTCAGATCATCATCTCAACCTTAGAACTAATTTATCCTCAAGGTAAACTCTCTAGAGCCTTTAGTACTCATTTTTACAACTGACTATAGCAAAACCAATACTTGTGGTTAGGGCTAATTATTAAACTGCTATGCTCTTATAGAGTTCACACAGACCCTAGCATCTACTTCATAGCATATCTGAAATACTTTAGTATACTCCTGCTGGTTTATCAAACTCCCAATCCAGATAGTCTTAATTAAATTCAATTTTGTTCAGTATTACAAATTCCAAAAATATAGGCTTGTAATGCTAATTTAAAATATATTACACCAATTTGCTAAGGTGAAAGATAGTACTAAAACACTTTGCACATAATTATAACATACATGTGCTATATTAGATAATATTTTACTTAATATAATATTATTATAATAATATTTTTTTTAAGTTTAGCATTTTTTATATTTATTTAATTCTATTTGAATTAATTCTTTTTTATTATTACTATTTGTACTTTGAATTTAAACTTTTAAAGGTTTACAAATCTTATATAAATCTGTATCAGATGTCATAAATTTGATATATAGAATTAAGTCTTTCTAAATATATACAAAATTTTTATAGTAAATTGTATTAAATAGTTTTCTAGAAAAGCATTAAGACATTCAATAAAAAAATTATATACTGTAGTATAATTTTTTTAGTTAGCAAATAAATAATTAATTGTATTTTATATTGCAAATATTATCTGAAAAAAGAAGTCTTTTAATATTAGCATAATTAATAATAAATCTATAAATTAAAAATGATATTATTTTATTAATTGCTATTTGATTTTTAAAAATTATATTTATTTTGTATTTTTATAAATTTGTTTAACTAATCTATTATTTTTAGATTTTCTTTAATTTAAATAAAATTATTATTTTCAATTCTAACTAATTTAAGATAAGTATTTTTATAAAGTTTAATATTAGCATTAAATTGATAATTAAACTGTTGTTTAGAATTAGTTTCTTTATTTGTTTGACTATATTTAAGTGCTATAAGTTAATTCATTAAAACTAATTCTAATTCTTTTTTATTCAATTCATAAAATTGCAAATATCTTTTAAAAAATTATTTAAAACTATTATTTTTAAAATATTGTTTTTTATTATTTCTAGAAGTGCAATATTAAATTAAAAAAACTTTCATAAATTTTGTGCAATTTCTTGTGGAAATTGCTATTTGTACCACTCATTTTTGCTATTTGTACCCTTTACACATGTAAAAAATTTTTTTGACTGATTATTGTATAAAACTTTTAAACTAAATTAAGTTAATTATATAGTAATTAATTTTTAACTAAGTAAATATAATAATAAATTTATATAACATAACATAATCTCATCATACTTTCATATAAAAGGGTACAAATAGCAAAAATGGGAGGTATCAATAGCAACACCCATCATGATGAATTAGTAAACTACATTTTTCTGAAAATGATTAAGTAATTTTAGTAATCTAGATATATGCACCAACTTGAAGTTACAATAATTAAGTTAACTGTAACTTCATACCAAGAACATTGTACAAAATACAAAGCATATAATTACACCAGGAACAAAGTACGAAGTGTATGGTTAACAGACAACTAGAATGGCTAGTGACAAAATCTGAATATTATTAGATAACAGTAAGATACATATTGTTATCTTCAAATTAAGGTAACCCAGCCCACTTAGGCTATTTCGGCTACGTAGGCTACTACAGCTACATAGGACACAAGGCCATGTCGGGTAAGTAGGAAGTATTATATGTATTAGAAGTAGCAGACGTAGCAGACGTAGAGTGTCAAATGTAAATAAAGAATTATACAATAAATAAAGGCTGTGAAGGCCTAGAAAAAGGAGAGACCTGAACTTCGCTTTATCAAAATAATAACTGGCCCCTTACATAATAATAAAACATATAAACATCTCCTTTGCTACATGAACTAATCGCTAAATCCCTGATCATAAAACCTCAATTCTTGCAATTGTCTGTTCTATCTCAAAGTATTGTTACCTTCCTGTCTGGCTGTTGTATCCTAAAGTACCAGGATCAGCTATGGTTGTATCGTTCCATTATCCTGAAGGACTGAGAATAGTGAGGTTATACATGTCATTCAATTACCTGAAGTAGTAAGGTTATTAATAATAAAGTTAGTAGACAGCTCAAGAGAGGAATACCCAAGACGAGTAAAGAAGAAATACTTACCTACAGACCCAAACCATCGATCAAATTTAAACGCCTCTTTTCGACTAAGCCAACTGTAGGTTACACGAGAATTTGGATTGTGGAGTGACTAACTCATCGTTTAGCCCGATTTTAATATATAGTAGAATACCAAGAACAGAGTGTTATTGTGTAGTGTATGGTATACGTATAGCATTTATATGTGCATGTGTATGCAAAATCTTCGATCTGATTTGTTTATAAGGTGGGCAGTTTAAAACCGCCCTTAAACTTCATGGGTGGCTGCTTCATGCAGCTTTGTTGTTGGTTGTAAAAAATATCCCAAACTATGTGATAAATAGCATCACACTATTTCAGCAATAACAGTAAGAAGATGAATACTTGATGTAATGTTATTCATCACGTAGTTTGGGTAACATTGCTACTATAGTAAGAATTGAGCCATACCTCAAAGTAGGGTGAGTATGTAGGGTGTCCAGAATTATGCGATTTGGTCAAAGTCAATTATGCGATAAATGCGATATAAATTTGATCTATTGTAGTAATTTTTTTCTGAATTTAATTAAAAAATTTTTCTTCACCTTGCTCGTATTTTATGTTCATTCATAATCTAAACCAGACCCTTATTAAGATTACAACTACTGAGCAGGAAGATCGGTAGTGCATAAATGTCACACATGGTACTAGTATGTACTACTTGATGATGTCTCGCTACCTAAGGGTGATGTAATTAGCTTGCTTACACATGTTATAAACATGAATATTGCCAAGAGAGTTATAACTTAAAGGTTATAATCCTTGAAACCTGAATTAAATATGTATAACTTTATTTTTGTTCACTGGATTTGCACGATAATGTCACGCAGCTATCTAGTTAAATAAAAACATAAATTATCGAATTAGAGGCAATCTTTAATAGTTGAAATAATAAAATAGGTTTGCAATTTTAGATTCTGAGTTCTATAACACGAATATAACATTATCAAGTTTGATTTTAATCTTATTAAGGGTCAACTAAGCTGATTTTTTCAAAAAATTTACCAATTTGGCTGGCTAAGTCAACTAATTCCTAATCGACAAAGTCAGTAATTAGCCTAATTCGATGAAATAAGTCAATAAGCATTGAATCCTAGATTTAAAGTTAAACATCCATCAAATCGAAATTTGGTTTTGAGATGTTTCAAACTAGTTTATTATTGATACATTAAGCTGAAATATGTACAATAAAATGATTCATTATGTATTTTGTATATCGAATCAGTTGGTATCACTCAAATAAATTAAAATTTTGGTTACTTTTAATCTTATGTGTCTCAAACTCAATTTCTGCCTGATGTCATATTAAACATTGGCACTCATTCCAATTTGACACACTGTAAAAAACTAGTCTTTATCAAATTGTTTGCGCTCTTCAGTCCATTTATTCATTTCCAAAATCATCATTGACATTAGGGATAGGAATCGATTTAGTCAACTAAATCTTATAGCTGATTCCTATTCCTAGTTGACATCCTTATTATTATATTTATGTACCTATCTTTGACAATAAGTGCATTTATATCTATCAAAAATGGATGCATATCCAAAAAATAAAATGCTGTAACTTTGTTCTTGTAATGATGCTAGACCAAAAAATAAAATAAAATTAGAAAAAAAAAAATTAGTTGCCATTAAGCACACCTTTTCGTGTGCACTATTCATTAACTATATCTTATGTGCATTCTATAAAGATTGATCAAACATATTAGTGACGACATATTCGCAATGCACTGATTGATCTGTAATGCATAATTTAGTAATAGTAAATCATCACATTGCTACGTGATGCATAAAATGAGATAATATGATATTTACTTAAAAACTATCAAGTTAGAGAATTACTAAATACTTTTTCTAACAATACTATAAAAAATCATATTCACTTTCCTGTTATAGTGATAAATCTTAAATCTTGTTGTAACGATAAATCTCTAAAAAAAAATCTTATTTTAATTACAAATATGCTTCCACCACCCTCTGCAATATATGAAAGCATTATTGAACTTTTTCAAAGCGCTCAAACCTTCACCAATTCCCAAGGTTATGTTTTAGTGAAAAAAAGAACATGTAAGGATCAGTATGGTAATCTAAAAAATATGACACTGCATTGTGATCGGGGTGGAATTTATAGCAGCTCAGAAACACATCAAAGACAAACAAATACTCAGTTGATTAACTGCCCTTTTGAGTTATATGCTATTCGATATAATAATCTATGGTATATAGAAGTCCGTAATAGTAACCATAATCATGACCTCTCGGAAGACTTATTAGGACATCCAATGTTATGTTGACTTACAAAGCACCAATTAGTAAGAGTTACAGAAATAACAACCTCTGGTTCACGTCCTATGGAAATAATATCAACCATTCATCAAAATGATCCATCAGCATTAGCAATAAGTAAGGACATCTATAATGCACATCAGCAGCTTTGCAAAAGAAATTTGGCAGGTCGTACCCCAGTCAAAGCATTGATAGATGAGCTTAAAGAGAGCAATTATATGTACGAATACAAATGCGATGATATAGGTTAGTGTTCTGAATCAAAAATCGATTAGTTAATCAAGTTGGCAACTAATCGATTGATAATTTTATTAGACAACTAATTAATTGTCAGCAATTAATTGATTAGTTGTTTTATATAGTATATATTATTCTTTGTCATTTCGATTAGTTAAATAACCCAAACCTGATAGTTTCGTCAAATGCTGAATCCCAAATTGCTGTAACAAAGTTTCAAATAGCAATAATACTTTCCACTATTTGAGTGACATTAATTTCAACATTGGCAAAATCCAAAATCCTGATCAAAATGTGCCGAATGTGCCAAATAATGCTGAAACATTTTGGGTTATGCTACTAATTTCGATGCATCAATAGATTAATAATGCCGAAACAGTTTGGGTTATGCTACTAATTTCGATGCACCAATAGATTAATCAATTAATTGATTAAATGACTAATCGATTAATTGACTATAACCAACTTAATCAATTTTTAAAAAATTTTAATCAACTAATTGATTGCTGATTTGTAACACTAATATAGGTCATATTACTCATCTTTTTTTTGCATATAATGAATCTGTCATACTTACTCATCGATATTCATCTGTACTTCTTATGAATTGCACCTATAAAATGAACAAGTTTAAAATATCCTTGCTAAATGTTGTTGGGATCACCAGTTTCAATACTACTTTTTTTTCATGTTTTGTCTTTATGAAAGACGAAGATGAAGAGGATTACTTATGGGTGTTAACATGTATCACTAAATTGTTTAATGGGGTACTACAGCCTAAGGTCATAGTAACAGATAGAGAGTTGGCCCTTATGAATGCTCTTAATATAACATTTTTAAGTTCAGCTAATTTATTATGCCTATGGCATATTAATAAAAACATAATGAAAAATTGTAAGTCTCGATTCGAAACGGTCAATGAGTGGCAGGCTTTTCTCTCAGAATGTAATAACGTTGTTTACTCACAAACTGAGGATGAATTTAATATAAAATGGGAAAATTTTCTTAACACTTACACAAACAAACCTCATATCATTAACTATCTTAAGGAAATTTGGATGCCTTGGAAAGAAAAATTTGTTAAGGCTTGGACTAATAAGTTTTTTCATTTAGGGGCAACCATTACCTCTCGGGTTGAGAGTACACATGCAACAATAAAAACATATCTACATACATTAGCAGGAGCTCTTTACGATGTTCATGTAAAAATTTCCTTAGCAGTGGAAAACCAAAAAAAAGAAATAGATACTATGATTGCATCTGAAAAAATTCGCTCTCCAATTTTTGCACAAAATAGTTCTTTATACGAAAATGGTAGAGGCAAAATTTCTAATTTTGCCCTTAAAAAAGTAAACGAGCAGTATTAAAAGATAAAATGTGCCACTACACAAGATCCTTTACCAATATGTACTGGATCTTTCTATAGCACAATGGGTTTACTTTGTGCTCATAGAATCCAACTTCTTGAAAATCATCAAGGCTTAATGCTTGATGATTTTCATGAGCACTGGTGGATACAAGCTCGCTTACCAATACCACCTGTTGAAACAAACATTCCTGAAATACAACCTCTTTTCAAGCCCTAGAAGAAAAGTATGAAGAATAGCCAAAACACCAACAAGAGGCTGCACGAAAAAAATTAAATAATATGATTAATGCTCCATTAACAATCTTGCAAAATCCTTAAGTGGTTCGTACTAGAGTAAGACCTCCTGGTGCCTTTAATTGCCGAACAAATAATTCAACCAGAAGAGATCCCTCTGGATTCGAGTTGGTGGAACGTAGAGTAAGACGTTGCACTCATTGCAAACAGCCTGAGCACTATGCTAGGACTTGTCCAAATAGGTGAATCTGTAAGTATATTCGGAATGTTCAAGCCATGCACGATGTTATATATTAAAGTTTAAAGTTAGTGGTTTATGCAGCATGTAGATCAATATATTCACCTATTTGTTATGGTATTGTACATAATTAATCATGTGATAGAATAGATATTGAACGCACATAAACATAGATATTGCACTTAAAATTTCTAATTGAAAATTGCGAATCTAATTTTAGTTCAAGCTACTGTAATTATAATGCCTCCAATTCCAATTACTGTACTTATAAGACACATTCAAATTACTGCACTTACAAAAGGTGCTGAATAAAAATATGTATATCAATATTAGCACTGTAGTTTGATCAACTTAACATTCGCTAAACTAGTTTCTTAAAACAATGCTGCAAATAATTATTAATTTAACAGCTTTTTACTAACAGGTCTCACTTATTAGAATTTTAAATAATAACTCAACCTGTAGATATAAATGTGCATAATAGCAAATTGTATATCTCGTTTCTATTGTAATAGTTGATTGGATTTTTACAAGCATTGGATAGAATAACTGTGCCCTGCATATTTTAAAAGAAATTTAAGAAGCTTTAGTTATTTACATGATGCAGAAATTATGTATATATGTTATAAGAGCTTCTAATTATATATTCATGTTTAAAGTTGAAACTTTAAGCATTAAAGTTAAGCATTGTTTACTAACGTTTGCAGGAATATTGTGAGCAGTAGGATGGTGGTGCCGGAAGCTTGTGATCAGTGTAATGAATTAATGGCTATGCCAATCACCTACCTTAAATGGGTTTACCGACAGTATATACTGTATTCACTGTATACTTAGTGTCGGGTTGATAATTGATATTAGTAGGATAAGGGGAATCAGCAGGATGAAGGGTATAATTAAAATAACCAGTATGAATTTTATAATCAGTATAATAAACATAGACATTATAATTAGTATATATGGAATAACGAACATAAGTAGTATAAGTGGTATATCATGAATAAAGTGTATAACGTGTTCTATGTAAATGAAAGTATATAATAAAGGCTTCGAGCCTCTAAGAACAGTTCAGTTCATGCTTATCATAAAATTCGTCTCCTAATAATTATATCCTACTGTCATTATAATAAAACCTACAATCATAAACTATCCACTTGTCCAAATCTAACCGCCTCTTTTGACTAAGCCGATTCATAGGTTACACGATGTATCCATTTGAGAAGTGACCGACTCGCCATTCCACCCATGTCAATATCTAATTTTAAGAAAAATTCTACACATTAACATTCTTATAAAATGTATATGTTGTGCCTCAGACTAACGCCTGCCTCAGATTACAGTAGATGCACCTCAGATGCAGATCATTAGGTAAGGTGCATAACATCATCTAAGCTGTGATCTGACGAAAGAGTAAAATAAATTGAATAAGACATTTACTTAAAACTCTTTTTATTCACAGTTCTTGGATCTCTTTGCCGTTTTCTCACTTGTAGCATTCTTTTCTTAAATCGATATGTTATGCACCTCACTTAACAATTTACATCTGAGGTGTGTCAGCTGTGATCTGAGGCAGGCGTTAGTCTGAGGCACATCTTACAAAATTTTGTGGTCATGTAACATCGACGAAAATTCTTTAAGTTAGGGTAGAGTCTCTGTTTTAATAGAATTTTAGAAATTATAATAGCAAAATTGCTCAAGGAAAACTTTTTGTTAATGTGTATACAGTGATTTCTTATGCATATTTTTGAGAAATAAGTGATTTTTGACAAAAAAAATGTTTGTTTTAAACTTTTCTGATCATGTTAACAATTGGACAATTTTTTGTTAATCATCATGTGATTACAAAATTTTTGTTGGCGATCATGACAAATATTATGATAAATTTTTTTTATATGAGTAGGGGGTACAAATAGCAAAAATAGGGGGTACAAATAGTATTGCCCTTTCTTGTACTAAATCATTATTTTTATAATCTTTTAAATTTAATTGTTTAATAAAATTGCTATATAATTACATGGAGGACCAGGTTAATGATGGTCAGACCCAATGTACAGAATAGGCTATAATATTCTACACAGCTATGCAAGCTGAGCATACGGTGAGTGAATCTACAGAAGAATTCTTTACTTTCTTAAACACCATTTTATCATCTCATATTAAGGAAGAACTTCAAGACTCAGCTTATAATACACTATATGATCCAGACTCTTGCTATAATGTGTGATTAGCAGGATTGAATCTACTTCTACTTCCACATCTCCAAACAATTAGCTTTTTTTTAAAACACATTCATC